TGCAAAATCGCAGTTACGCACGCGTCTAGCACTTGTAATAAATTTCATGGACGAGTTGATTTTGGAAAGTGGAATAAGATAAGTTTGGAATATCTTCCTCACTAAAGTAGGTACATTGCACTAATTTCTACTCGCATCCTACTTAACTGTGCTTCCAAGTTAGAACTACAACACTTTGAGAGTAATCAGCTCATATTAATGTTGTACATTTAGAATATTCGATTTTAACATCGCTAAGCTATATAGAAGCATGCAGCGTGACTGTCATAAAAATACGACAAACAGCAAAAATAGCTAAATCATAAACGTAGAATGCATAAAATCGGAAAATTAGTAGAATATTATCGTCATTGTTTATAGAAATCGCTCATATAAAAAGATATGAATGCATTGATTAATATTAATTACATTTATAAAAATATGACATTAAAGTGAAATTAATAATATTGTCAGCCATATTTTGAAAAATTATATATATAAAAATTAGGTTTTTTTTAATTTGAAGAAATTGAGGTTTGTATAATGAATAATCGTAAATAGCTCAATAATGCCTTTGCGAGCCGACACGGATGTTGGTGTGTAATAATTTTTACTGTCATACAATAAAAATTTTTACAACAGTATAAATTACTGTTACAATAAAAATTATTACACACCAACATCCGTGTCGACTCGCAAAAGTATTATTGAGCAATTTGGTTTTTGCTTTATTTTGCTGCCATTTTAATATGTGTATCCTAATATATTAATTATACACCACACCTGGTATGACATAGTCAATCTTTTACCTTTTTATAACTTTTGTAAAAATTAACATGTTTTGTATGTTCTTTATATTTGATAAGATAAACATTTAGGAAGATATTTTAATATAAGTAAATTATTAAAATAAGTTGTTAATAATAAAAGAATTATAACTATGGTATAAGCATACGACATAATAAATATACAGATTGCGTATTGCAATGAACACTATCGGTTTAGAAAGAGCGAAGTAATTCTCTGCGTCACTTCTCTGTGTATCAGTAGAGAGGATAATAACATTTTAGATTAAAGAAAGATTCGATGAGTTTCAACGCATTGCATCCTCTTTTGAAGAACAGATGCTAAAATCAGACGATAAAAAATGCCCAGTCTATACTTGTTATGTTTACAATTATAAACAGTAAAATAAATAGAAAAAATGAAAGAGTTTTGAAAAAGACTATCTTTTATTTAAAACAGTCGGATATACCATATTTAAAGAGGCATTCTGAGGATTAAGTATATGTGTATATGTAAGGAAAGGAGAAGAAAATAGTGACAGAGAGCAAATAGTGTCACTTTAAATTTCTCCTCTTTCTCGCGTTTATTTTATCACTACTCGTTAATATAATAGAAAGCAGTCTCAAGCATCTAATCATCTTCTGAAAAAGCAGTAAAAATCGAAAGCCAAATATAGCTAGCGGAGAAGTTTAAAATTATGCATTTGTGAAATAAGGTAAAATCTGGATTTTTTTTGTTATTTGAAATTATATTTTCTTAATTACTGAATCGTTGAATAAGATCTAACCTATTCTATGTTATACGATACCTTTTTTACCCTATTTTGATATAATTCCTATG